CCGAACGTCCCGGGAGGAAATCCCCCGTTTTGTTCATTGGGCTCACTACAGTTCAGGACTCAAAGTCACGGTTCTGTATCTAATCTCGCAGAGTGCAATGCAAGACCGATGAATCATCAAAGAGTCCAAATCCAACAAATCATTTTTAAAAATAGATTTTTTTGAAAGAAGTGCCAAACATGGACTGCTTTGCCAGATACAGAGTCGCCACCTAAATATTTTATTTTGGGAAATTTAGGAAACCTTGACTCGTTGCCTAAGGCCACGTGTCCGTCATCACCAAAGTTGCATCGGCTCGGGAACTTGGGTACTATTGGGGAAGGTCACTTCGTGAGCACCCCCGCTCGCCCAATCAAAGATCGGCCTCTACTAACCATGATATCTAGTTTTGAAAACATTATGCATTCTTATTTCGGTTATTAGCCTAGATTTACTATGTGATGCGCACAGCATACAAGTATAGACTGGATCGCCTGAATTGGAACAAAACGTTTCATGTTTGTTTTTGAAAGCGGTTTGCTACTCGCAAGTAGGCTAAAAATGCAGATTTTGCCACCCTCGGGTGGGCTTAGAAAACATGGTTTTGTCACTATCTAGTGGGCTTAAAACTCACAGTCAATGCATTATTCCAATTCAGATAATCCAACCTTCACCCACAGGCATTCAGGTAGTTATATCATATAAGCATATAGCCTCATGGTAAACATGCTATCATGGCAACATTCACACGCATGCAAGATGCTAAAGCGTAAAAGCTTACCTAGTACTCCGAGCCAAAACAGAAACTAGGTTAGAAATCCATGCATGATCCTAACTATACAGAAATGCCTAATGCAACACATGCAAAAATGCAACTACAATAGGCTCGGCTATTTTAAAATGACATGTGAAATGCTACAGCTAACAAGTATTCAACTCGGAATTGAAATACAAATGCAGTTCGTATGATGTGCCGAGCCCGGTGCTTGCAAGACAGATGAATGGATGCAAACATGCGAGCATAAGTATGCTGATTGAAACATGCCCTAAACTAACCATCATAAGTTGGTAAATAAAAAGGAGAAAAACGTCTGTTTGGTTGTGATTTGTAATCAATTTTCTACACGTGTGTTTGAGTATGATGTTTGGTTATGGTTTTGAAATCAATTTTTCACACTCTCTGTAGAGAACTCTGATGCACAGGCCGCATTTTTTGTCAAAATTTTGCCTGAGGAAGTCCACCCGGATGTCCTTGGGGACGTCCACCCGGATGTCCTCTGAATTCCAGATTTTTTTTTTTTTGGCAATTGATTTACATACTCGGGAAAAATATTTTCTGAATTTTTAAAATTTTTTTATGTGTTTTAAAATAATTTTGAGTTGTATGTTTAGTTATGAGTTGTAAATTTTTGTGTCACATATCAAATGTCACATCAATAATTCTCCACTCAAATCAAACCTCTTTTCCAAAACTATTTTCAAAACTCTTTACCAAACAAATTTTCTACACTCAAATCATAATTCTACAACACACAAACTCAAAATAAAACTCATACTCTCAAATCACATTTACAAAACACAACCAAACGCAGGCGTGGAGTTGGAATACATACATCACACAGACGCACACTTATTACAATTGTGCCCTCGCTCGGAGGGTCCGAAAGAATAATACAGTCCGAATAAATAATTAAATATTACAAAACCCTAATTAATTAACAAATTAACTAGGAAATCGGATAAACTAGCATGCAAGCTTATGGACCGCCTCAGCTCTGTTCCGAACGATGAAAGATGCATGCTTGAGTTGCCTGGTGCGGAAATCCATTGCGATGCCCCGATTCGCCTCTGTGCAAGGCTCTGGAAGGCTGTTGATTTCTGATTTGCTGCAACAGAGAGCAAGAAAGTGGCACAACAAAGTATTTTCACATATGTATGCATGACTACTCTTCAGGGAGTGTAGTCCTCGATCCTCGTGCCACCAATCACGTATCTCGATGCTTGATGGCCGAGGAGTCGAATTGCACGACTCGATGTGAAATGAATGCACATGAAAACGCAAGAAGACCTAAACTCCATCATAGATAATCCGGAGTGTCGGCGACCGGGGATTGAGACACGTTCCGTCACTCGAAGTACAAAACGTCCCTCGTTTCCCGTACTTGGGCTAACTCCTATCCCAAACACAATGCAAATGAGATGGCATATGCAATGCGACTAACATACAACCTAGCATACACAATGCTATGAAATGACATACACAATGCTCTAACATGCGACCTAGCATACACAATGCTATGGACCGAAATGGCATACACAATGCACGATGGACTTACACCAACATGAGTGGATCTCAGCCACACTCACATCAGTGCCCATATGATGGAAATGAGACAACTGAAACACATGCAAACATGCATGATGCAAGGAATCGATCCTAAGGCATCGAATGTCACTCTACCAAAGCATGGAAAATGATGCAATATGGCATACAAACACACAAATTCTAGCTCTGAAACATGATACAAAATGGTCCCGAAACATGCAAACATGGCACACAATGCAACTTAGGGGGCCCGGGTACTGAAACAAGTGAAGTGCGTTACTCTAGAGGTACCAAAAACAATGCACGAATGGCAAAATCAACCCCAAACAGACCCTAGGCAGGTCTGAAACAGTAGGGAAATGGCCTAAAATGATGGCTTGGAATGCAACGAAATGGAGCTCATTCAATGATCGGTAAATGAGACATACAAGCCCGACTCTCAAACGCATTTAAAGAGTATAAAACATGACAACATGGCATTCAAACAAGCTCTGAAATGTGATGAATAATAGGCTTAAAACATGAACACACCTCAGTATATGCATGGAATGGATCTCAAAACTCAAAGCTAAGCGTGGACCTTGAACTACAAGCATGCAAAACTAACATCATTCAACCACAAGACCCAAAAACAGTGCTAGGGAAGCCCAAAATAAGCACATTATCAGTGTAAGGCATGGCCAAAATATGCTAGAATCAATGGCCTATAAAACATGCAAAGAAAGCTAGTGAACCATGAGTTGCTCTACAACTATATGAAGCATATGAGAGCTCACCCAACCAGCCAAAAAGAGAAGTATTTCATGCCAAAATATGCCCAAATAACTCTTGAAACTCAATCAACACATGCAAGAATGATGAGCCCCTTTGGAAAGCCACGCGAGGGGTTGTTCTACACATACATGATAGACAAACAAAAGGGCAAAACCACCTCTGGAAATAAGTTATGAAAGTCCTAAAACTCACCAAAAAGAGCCTGAAATTGGTCTAGGAAGCATGCAATGAAAGGCCCCCTTAAAAGGCCTTGAATGAAATTGTTCTACACATGCATCATAGACATAAAATATGGCCAAAGGGGCTCCGAACAGAGCTAAGGAAGATCTCAAAACTCACATAATAGGGCCTGAAACAAGACTTCAAAGCATGCAAGATGGAGCCCCTTTGGAAGGCCAAAAAGGCCAACAAACAAGACAAGGAGAGAGGGGGTTCCCCCCATCTGATTTTAGGGCTCAAAGACATATCTAAGCCACTGAAAATCCACTGGATTTCAGTGGCTAAAAGGTCAAACCAAGGCCAATGCAAATGCTCTAATGCATAGCCCCAAGCATGAGGGAATGAAGCATACAAAGGGAAAGGTGACCCCAAACAGAAAAGTGATCTTAAGTAAACATGTTTATAAGCTCAAAAGGAAACTTTTTTAATTTTATGACAAATCTAAAAAATTCTCACAAGTAGGGCTAAGATATGATGCAAAACAATGCTTAAAAGAGGGAAATTGTGTGTTACCCTTGAAGCTCAAGAAGATAGCAGCAAAAGGGGTCCAAACTCTGAGCTAAAACCAGATTTTGGAGCTCAAAATGATCCTCAAAGAACCTCAGTCCAATGGTAGTTGAGTTTGATCAAGGGTGCCTAGGCAAAGGAGAGGTATATCCCCAAATATAGCTCTTGCTATGTACACAAAGGCAAGAGAAGGAGAGAGAGACAGAGATTTGGCTCTGGAATTTCTAGTGAGAGAGGGATTTTTTAGAGTGAGAAGCTCCCAAAACTTGCTTAGGAAGATTGTTCTTGAAAATGAGAGATATAACTCATATATAGCCATATACAAGAGTTGGTTCAAAAAAATCTGAGTTTGGAACAACTGGAGGTTGTGGAAGACAGCTGGAGGATAAATATCTGAGTTTGGGACCTGTAGACCACTTTCTGGTCGGCCAGCCACTTTTTCTGGTCGGCCGACCACTTTTTCAGGAGAGGGTGGTCGGCCAGCCACCTTTTCGGGTCGGCCAGCTAGTTTAGGAAAATTCTGCTTTTCAGCTCCAACTTCAAATGGCCATAACTCCTTCATATGAACTCATTTTCAGGTCATTCTTGTGTCCAAATTGAAGCCCTGGAAGTTAGCTTTCCAATGGAACCAAACTTGCATTAAAATTCCTCTTGTAAAAAATGTTATGCCTATTTTGGTGAAGCCGCGCAGATTCGGTCCAACCGGATTCATGCTGAACTTCTCCCAAACTAGTTTTCTTCTCTCCTTTCCTCTTTTATTCAACTCCAAACCCCCTAAACAAAGTGTTTTGAAAGATTTTTCAAAGATTTCATCTCTCTTTCATTCATTTCTACTTTGTCCTTGCTCGGTTTATCGAAAAGCGCAACATTTGACAAAATGCGAGCCTCGGAACATCGTAAAAATTTTATTTCAAAAACGTTTTGAAAGAGAAGGTTTTGAGATCTAAAATCTTTTGATCAAGATTGTTTTGGTCCAAAAAGGGGTACGAAATTGAGATTTGACTCTCTCATTGCCGAAGAAACTGAACCTTTCCCTTGCATACCTTTCTCCACCATGTAAAACATCAGTCGCGTCCAAGTCTTAAGAGCGGTAAAAAATGGGGTGTCTACACATTACCAAGAGCATTAAATGAAGGAAAGGTAATTATGAGACCAGTTAAATAATTCAATGGAGAAAAAATTGAGTGAACAATACCCCGAGCATTAAATGCATGGACTCAACTATTTATGAAGGACAATTGCCAAATGACTTTGGATCTCATCATGTTCACTTGAGACCTTGGAATCCAAGACCGTGGAGCCAAACACCTGACAAAAGATCAAAAAGAACCAAATGAGCTGCAGAGAAATGGTAATGTTGGAAAAATGTATAAACCAATACATTTAAACTGGTCTAGAGCATTAGTACCAACAGTATGTGCCAATCCCATTTGGTATTTAATCCTCTCTATTCATGACCTACATACAAAGAATTCAGATAATCTCTAGAGGACTATATGGCAACAAAGAAAGAAAACAGAGAATGTTGGTGAGGGGACCGCAACAATGTAGACAATATTATGCATAATTGAATCAATGTATGTCAATAAAATTTGACACATTAGATGCTATAATCTCTCACAAGATAGAGCAAAATGGATTGTTGTCATAAGGAACATCATAGCTAACAGCTACAAGCTAGCATTCATTACAATGGTTAGGTATACATATAGCGGGTTCAGACTTAGGGGGGTCGGGCCTTTTCTCTTTAGCCTTCGGTGGACCAACACCAATGAGATCTGCTACCTTTCTGGTCTTCCTCGCTTGGGTTGCAACTAAAACAGGATCAACATTCCCAATAATAGTTAGTATCCCCTTCTCACTATCCACCGATATCTGATCAATGCATGTTCATTCAAAACATATGTAGCATGATTTTACACGTCATAGTTCAAAACATAGTAAATTTCGACAAACTTGTCAACCCATTCTTCATACCTTGAAGTTTAGTGACGACTTCAATATATTACTTTTGCACTTATGGTAGTGAATGTTGACTTTGACCTCTATTTTCTACATAGAAATGCAAAGAACAAGAGCTGTGAATTTGAAAGAACTAGAATGAATAATAGCGAAATTTCACTAAAAACTAGGCCTTACCTTCACCTCCATGGCAGCGAAAATGATCAAATTGAACTATATGTTCCCTCAACCTAGGACTAATGTTGGAAACCTATTTGTAGGAGTAGGACTATAAATAATAATAATAATAATAATAAATGTCAACTTAGTAAAGAAAGATCGAAAGCAGAATATAAGGTGGTTGCACATTTAGTTTTTCATTTTTTCATTTTTCCTGTGATGCAGGGCAACATGAAGTCTATAATGACATGGACCAAGTAATAATGTGATGTAAATGTCAAAACCGAGTGGGATGTTTGTGGAAATTTAATAGCTTAGAAAATTCTTGACAGTGATTGTTTCCTTAGAAAATTGTTTGACAGTGATTATTTTCTTGAAGAAGGGTTCAAATCCTCCTCCCGAACAGCTCATGGTATTTTAGTGATGTAGACAAAGAAGTGAATTCCACAGGCCAATTCTTCCTAGGATATGTACTCAAACAACAAAATTAAGGTCACTAATGTCAATGGAGAGAGAGAGAGAGAAAGAGAGAGAGAGAGAGAGGGATTTTGACAATTCCATTATATGTATTTTATACCTTTTTACAACAAAAAAAGGAGGATAGGATTGAATCTGATTTGAAAGATTGGCATCTGCTAACAAACCACCACAAATCAGTACTTCAAAAAAGTTCATCACTAAATTATAATATCTCTGTGATATTTGCATCAGCAGATACTATCTTTTGGATTAGTTAAATAATGTTATTATAGTTTCAAATGGATGGATTTGAATGAAATAACTCCGCAATTATAGCTATTTGAAATCATCAAGATATATAAAGGTAAACATTTTCCCAAACATTTGCAAAAATTTGTTGCCTAAATGAGTTTTTATCATAGACCAAAATGCACAAACCATTCAGACTAAATTAAAGACAAGCTTTGGTATAATCATTATAAACAAATTGCAGACAATACTACCATGCTTAATTGAAGCAATGTATATACTAGTACACAAAAATTATTAAAATTTGAACACATTAGATGCCATATTCTAGAGACCACACACAAATACATGTATGGGCAAAAATCTCATGACCGAATGCCTCAAAGAAACCTCATCAAGAATGGACAACAAGAACGCTAACTCATTTGCCTCTCTGTCATTAAGATTTCTCGTAAACAATGATTCTTGTACCATTTAATTTCATGTAGCCCAAGTATAAAAATACCATTTAATTTCATGTAGCACAAGTATAAAAATAGCCTTCAAGCTGGAACAATGTATGACTTTGTTAGAGACACATAAAATTACAGAATAGTTGATGCAAAAGAGACTTAAGGGGTTCTTTTTGTGATCTTGGACTTTCACCTTGAGCAGTGTTTGGTACCAAGGATAGAAGAGTTTTTTCTTAGAGATGAGAATCCTAAAGAAAGGCAACGCATATGAATTATTAAAATAGAACTTGTAATGGATTCATAGATTCAAATTGAATCGATTCAGCCCAGTTTGAGCTCCACATTTAATATCCGTTACTTTGGAGATCTCCAAAAAAATGCTTAAGTGAGAAATTAACCCTTCATTTCTGTCTCACACACACATACATATATACCATTTTAAAGAATGAATGTGTTGTTGTCTCTATAGCACCTAATTAAATGAAGTAAAACCTGGTCCAAGCACCACAACTACAGACATAGGATAGGATCCATTCACTCAACCAATTTTTGTTATGCTGTTCTTGATGATGATGATGGTTGTCATTTCCTTTCCCAAGTTAATTGCTGGCCATTAATCACATGGGTAATTTTTTTCAACAATGCTAGAGATTCATATTTTGAATCCAGATGCATTCACAATGATGTGACAAAGGTAGTAAATCCCATGTAATTGAGTGTATTACCAATAAAAAATTAACACTTATCAAATCATATCATTGTGGGTTGAATTGTGAGAGATTTTTGAATGTCTCAAAACATTTTCTCTTTTATTGAAAAAATAACCATTGACATGTCAGTTGCTGGCCATCAATCACAAAGATTTTTTTTTTTTTTGGTTGAGAAAATCACAATTCAATGAAATTTTTAAAAATTAATTATAAATTAATGAAAAATTTATTATTGTATACTTTAATATTTGTAAAATTTATCATTAATTTATAAATTTTTTTTTAGATATACACTGACATATAATCTTTAATTTTTCACCAAAGAACAAACTTAACTTGTGAAACATATTTATCTTCATGAGTACTCCGTTTTAGTGTAGTTTTTGGTTACCATTGATAATTAATTTTTTTTTTTCGGTAATCAGTGAGATCACACATTATTGGGCTCAATACTCTCGTTGCCCATTTTTTTTATTTTATTTTATTTTTTATAATATTATTATTACACTGCTTGGACATAGTTCATGTGCTGGTTGTACAACATGTTTACCTACTTTAGTAATACATACATATTCCAAGTTCACAGCATAATTTATAATATCAGTTAGAATAGTTGCAATCTTCCAATCAGCTTCCTTGCCCTTCTTCTGGAGCATCGTCACCATGACTTGGTGCTTGTCATTCTCTGCTTCACCGCCCATCTTAGCATAATTGGCCAATTTGGAATATATTGGCTGCTTAGTGTAATTTTTTATAAATTAAAAATTAATAATAAAAAATAAAAGTATGTATTTCTTTATCTGTTTCTCAGTAATTAGTTTATTTAATTATTTTTGTCTTGTAAACTGCAAGCATAAAATACACTAAACACTTTAATATAGTTTTCAAAAATAAAATAAAAATAAAAGATATACAATACCAAATTAGGGATGGCAATGGATAACCTACCTTGTAGGTATCCATGGAGACCCAACTCAAATACATGGGTTTTCCCCTCTTTTTCTTATCCATTGGGTAGGATAAGTGATATTCTTTAAATATCCACAGGGGATGGGTACCCACTAATTTCCCCATTTCTTTTTTTTTTTTTTTTTTTTTAAGTTTCAAAACCAAAAAAAAAAAAAAATTCAATTTTTTTTTTTTTTTTATTTATTTATTTTTTAAGGTTCACAACCAATTTTTTTTTTTTAGATCCACGACCAAAACTAAATATACATCCAATCTTTTTTTTATTTTATTTTTAAGGTTCACAACCATTTTTTTTTTAATTTTTAAGATTCACAACCAAAACTAAATATACATTCAATCTTTTTTCTTTTGTTTTTTTTTAATTTTTTTTAAAGTTCACAATCATTTTTTTTTTTTAAGATTCACAACCAAAGCTAAATAAACATTCAATCTTATTTTATTTTATTTGGCTCAACAATAAAATCAAATACACATTAATTAACATTGTCACATTATTCTTGTCAAATTTTATGCATATCTAGAATTTTTTTAATTTATTTAAAAAAATTAAGGACACTGTCTAGTGTAGGTTTCGGTTTACTTTTCTATGTTATTTTATTTTGTTGTGTATTGCAATTTTCAGAATAGTTGATGGCGGCAGCGATGATGGTAGTGGCTATGGTGATGGTAGTGTGATAGTGAAGGTGAGAATAGTAGTGATGTTGTTGTGAAATTAGTAAAAATTTAATTGAAAAAACATTTTTTGTTTTTTAAAAGTAACAAACAACAAAATTCGTGGGGGACTAAAGGAAGAAGATAGAGGATAGATTGGGTGTGGTAAGGCATAGATATCTTAAAATGAGTGGCTCAGATTTGTTAAAAGGTATAATTAGATTTTGGATAAATTAAAATAAATGGTTCAAATTTGCTCAGAGAAAGATGGTTTAATGTCTAAAATGTCCGTGGCTAAGAGATCAACAAACAATTCCTTATTCTTGCCCTGATGCAATTTAATACGGGTCTTATAACACTTTCTTCAAACAAATTCTTTCACATTTTATTTCTTCAAACAAGCTCTTATAACATTGTAAACAGGTTCTTATAACATGTAGGGGAGAGAGTGAGAGTGAGAGTGAGAGTGAGAGAGAGAGATGGTTGTAATTTTTTTTTTTAATCTTCCACGTTCTTCCACATTTTTTTTTCAATTACTAAAATTTATTTGATTGTCTCAAAATTATATATTTGATTAGTATAAAACAATTTTTTTAATTAATTAATTAATGTGTATTTGATTTTGTTGTTGAACCAAATAAAATAAAATAAGATTGAATGTATATTTAGCTTTTGTTGTGAACCTTAAAAAAATAAAAAAAATAAAAAGATTGAAGGTATATTTAGCTAAAACCTTAAAAAAAAAAGATGAGAAGAAGAAGAAAAGTTGTTAACATTAAATATATTAAAAAAGAAAGAAAAAAGATTGAAGATATATTTAGCTTTTGTTGTGAACCTTAAAAAAAAAATGTATATTTAGCTTTTGTTGTGAACCTTTAAAAAAAAAAAATTTGTTAACATTAAATATATTAAAAAAGAAAGAAAAAAGATTGAATGTATATTTAGCTTTTGTTGTGAACCTTTAAAAAAAAAAAATTTGTTAACATTAAATATATTAAAAAAGAAAGAAAAAAGATTGAAGGTATATTTAGCTTTTGCTGTGAATCTTTAAAAAAAAAAAAAATTGTTAACATTAAATATATTAAAAAAGAAAGAAAAAAGATTGAATGTATAGCTTTTGTTGTGAACCTTAAAAAAAAAAAAATAAATAAATAAGTGATTGTTAACATTAAATATAAAAAATAAAAATAAAATAAAAATGGGGATTAAAGTGGGTTGGGAAAAATCCAAACTCATTAAGAAATGGGGAGGGTGGTACCCATGGGGAATGAGAAATAGGGAATGGGAAAATTTTATTATCGGGAAATGGGGATAGAGAATTAATATCCACCCCATTAACCCCCATTACCATCAGTACTACTCATTTCTAGGACATTCAAAGTTCTCGGCGAGCCTTCGAAGATTCCGGTAACTTTTTCGGTGGTTTTTGATTTTTCCGACGACACTCTCAGACCCTCACGTACACAAAGAAAGGGAGGCTACATTGTCATCATCATCATTTGGGTATTAAAATAAAGTTGGCTCACACAAATTGGAGTGAATCCGATTTTGTTCATGGTTTAAGAATTCATTATTTTAGTTGATTTTTTAATTTTTTATAAAAATTTGTGTAGAAAAATAAAATAATAATAATGTAATAATTTGTAGTGGCTTTTATTAAGTCTATCCATAAACGGATTTTCAGAGTTTGTTTATTTGGTGATTTTTTTTTGTTTTTATTTATTTATTTTTAATATTTTGGAAAAAGCTTAGGCTTTTATATTTGGCTTCACGAGATGAGCCAATAAAAAAATTTAATAGTCCAAAAAACAATTAAGAAAAGACAAAATAAGCTAAAAATAGTATACTTTTTTTGGGCTTATTTTGACCTTTTCATATTTTCTTTTTGGACCATGCTACGTAGCTCGAAAGGAGCTGCCCCCGAATCCCCCTAAAGAAAAAACGACGTCGTTTTATCGTTTGATTTTTTTTTTCCATCAGAATAGAAGAAGGAGAAAGCAGAAAGAAGAACGAAGAAGAAGAAGGAAGAAGAAGAGAAGAATGAGGAGGAAGAAGAAGACAGCTGCGGCGGGCGGAGGCGGAGGGGGGGCAAAAAAAAAGAAGTGGTTGTTAACATTAAATATAAAAAATAAAAATGGGGATTAAAGTGGGTTGGGAAAAATTCATACCCATTAAGAAATGGGGAGGGTGGTACTCATGGGGAATGAGGAATGGTGAAAATTTATTATAGGAAAATGGAGATGGAAAATTAATATCCATCCCATTGCCATCCCTATACCAAACAGTCACATGGTTCGCCATTCATAATGGCATAGGTAGTTTTTGACAAAATTAGAAATTAAAAATTATGAATTAAGTATTTTAAAAATTGAATAGTAAACTTTTTTAAGTTGACAAATTATTTGATAAAAATTTCAGTATTAAACTATTACAAGTTTAATATATATATAAGATAAAATTTAAATGATAAAATTTGAAAATTATTATTTTTTAATTTTTATCTTTTTCTTTCAAATTTTATATTATGTTAGTAAGGTGATGGTGGCTTGTGACATTGGGATAATGGTGGTGACTATAGCATGGTAGCGATAGTGGTAAAGGTAGAGAGTTGTGGTAGTGGTGGCAATGACATATGGTGATGGTGTGATGGCAATAGTGAAATGATGGAGGTGCATAAAAGAGTGCACAATACAGTTCGGTGTGATTTGAGGATAGAATTAAAAATAAACCATGGATGACAAATTGACAAATTTATTATCCGTAATCAAACCGTGGTTTAGTTTCAACCTATTAGTTGAATGACTAGTTCCAAAAAAAAAAAAAACTATTTATTGAATGAAGAATAATCTTAAATAATTATCAAAATAATTACATAATATATAACACTAATTTAACTAATTTTACATAATATTATATATAAATATAACATTAATTTGTACTAAAATTTACATCTCAAATCGCTCTCACACTAGTTGTTCCTTTGACATTTGATTAGAAGTACTAAAAAATATATACGTATGGAGGGGTAGGGCAGTTTGTAAAACAAATTATAAATTTCAAACCGCGGATCAAATCAACTAGCAGTTAGCGGGAGGATCTATGTGGATTGAACTGTTTTAAAGGACTAGACTGCCTTGACAATGATGGTGGAAGTGATGATAGTAGTAGTGAAGAGCTAATGGCAATGGCAGCAGCTACAACGGTAGGGTAACGGGGTGACAACAATGATGATGTTGTTATAACAGTACTAGTCAATGTTTATACATAAACAATTAGAATTAAATAAGAATCCTGCTGTTTAAAATGTTTTGAACTTTTAATCTATATTTTAAATGTTACTTAAATTTGTAAGTCATACATTGTGATTATCAAATGACTTAATTAATCTTCACTTCATAAATTTAGTTTTAGATACTGAATGAATTATCAAACCCCAACTTATTAACTACTGATTAAGGCACGCATTTCACATGGACACATGGCTATTTACTTGTATGATCTCTTCTTCTACTATATAAATGTTGCTTCCTAAGCTCCTCAATTCTCAACTCTAAACCCTCTCTCTCTCTCTCTCTCTCTCTCTCAGAGTGATGGAAACCTCAGCTGCTAAATCTATTTTGTATTTGTTTATGTCCTCATCATCACACTCAGCACCGTGCAAGAAACAAATGGAGTTTTAAATGGAGAGACTCAAAAAATGATAAGTGAGGCTAACAAGAATGGCCCTTATCTAGGGTTGGTTATTCCAAACCTATTTGAGATGAACCCTCTTCTTCAATCTCTAAGCTTCACATCTTCCAACCTTACCATAGATTTTCAAGGTAAGTGTTCCCTTGAAAATAAAAAAAATTTCCTAGATCACTCCATTTTAATCTAGCTTCAATTACCTTTTCTTACTTACTTTGCATTTCATGCATGGTTCTAAATCGCGGTATCAGGTAACGTAATGGTATCGATCGCGGAGTATCGGTGTCGGTAGGTCGGTATGTATCGGGAATTGGGTGTCATGGCGATGAAATTTTAAAAATTATTTCACAGGTTTTTCAGTTTTTTCTTTCTTGTACTGGTCCAAACCGGTGAGTATTGACCCATCGTGGCTTATGTAACGGTTACAGACTGCTACGTATCGGGACTCGGCTGATTCTCCTGTGATTTTCGATCTTAGCACTATACCGGCCTATATCTGTCGCGGTGCTCTATTTTTCCGATACGAACCAGCCATTACGTAGCGTATTGGCCGGTTTTTAGAATTATGATTTCATGTTTCTTTCTTTCTTTTTTTTTTTTTTGAAGGAAGGAGATTTTGATTCGGAAAAATTGATGAAAAGGATGTCGTATTGGTCATGACTGGACTTGGCATGGTACGTAATTTTTTACTTCTCTTTTGAGAGTTCTTTATACACAAATTAGAGCACAAAAAGTAAATTCGAAGTCCACTTTATAATTCAAATTCATCCTATTGGGTGAGCCATGCTTAAAGTGAATCAAAGGTCATAAAATTCACTTTCCATGCATTTTTCTATATTTTAATTCTGTACACTTAACATTTATGTTCTTCTATATTTCTATTTTTTATAAATAATTTGGCATTTGTGTATATATATTAAAGATAAATGCAGGGATAACAACACAGCTATTGGTGAGTTTATTTGAAGTGGAAGGAATAGTGCATTATGGAATAGCAGGGAATGCAAACCCAAGTCTGAATATAGGGGATGTTACCATTCTTCAGTATTGGTCCCATACTGCTCTTTGGAATTGGCAGGTAATAAACCCCTCCTCCCACACCAACACAACACCTAGCTAGCTTTAGGTCTCGTTTGAAAATATTATTTTTTAGTCTAAAAGTTAAAAAATTATTAAAAAAATAAAAAAATCCATAACTTATATAAAAAAAGTCAAAAATTATTTTTTCTCTTTACTTTTTGTACATCTTTTCGTAAAAAATAAAAAAGTCATTCAAAATATATTGGCTTTTTTATACTATATTTTAGTCAAAAAACTAAAAAATTACTAAAAAAAACATGTTGGCATTAACTGCAAAGGATATCAAATAATAATAAAATGTGAGTTTGGGGATCAAAGGCTCAAATGGGAAGACAATTAATTTATGGAGTATTGGTCACGTTTAGAGAGTGGGGCTATATTATATGGATATAGATCCTCTCCAGCAGGTTTGATCTTGAAAGTGTCTAACTAATCTTGTATAGGATACCATTCTATATTATCCTCCTTTGGCAGTTAAGCCGATGTCATAACTTGATAATTATTAGTTAAACAATAATGATTCATACCACTAAAAAAAAAAATCACTAATAATACTAAAGTATAAATTGAAAAAGCCAAAAAAAAAAAAAAAAAGGCATAGGCAGTGGATGGTGCCCACTATCATATCATTTGTGGTGTTATTAGAACATCACTTTTAGTGCTCTCATCCATTTTTCTTAGTTAAAATAGTAAAACTCAGTATTTTATGTTTTTAACAAATAAGCACTCCTAAGATTGAGAACCCCTAAGCGAGTGCCCCTTTGATCTTGGCTTTGGCCTATTTGTAACCCAAAAGAAATATATATATATATATATATATATATGTGTGTGTGTGTATGACTAAATTCGGTGGTCATAACATTCAAAATGACATGCATTAGCCTCTGTTTGAGAAGAAATGTTGGGTTGGGTTTGGGACTATTTTGGTCATAAAAGACAAAATGAGCTTTTTAGCCTAACAAGATAAAACATCACATCCAACTTCTAATTATTATGTTCTTTTTCGCACAAAAAGTCAAAAAAATCAAAAAAATCATTTCCAAACGAGATTTTTTAGTTCTAAGCTAGAATGCCCAAAAAGCTAAAAAACTAACTCACTTCTCAAACGAGGCCTCGTTTGACAAGTGATTTTTTTAACCAAAAAGTCAAAAAGTTATTAAAAAAACCAAAAAACCAACAACTCATACAAAAAAGTCAAAGATTTCATTTTCTCTTTACTTTTTGCACATTTTTTCGTAAAAAGCCAAAAAGTCATCATAAACATATTAATTTTTTTTACATCACATTTTAGTCAAAAAGTTAAAAAGTTACTAAAAAAGTCTGTTCCCAAACGAGGCCATGTGCGCACAAAGTAGTGCCTAGTCGGGCTAGGTTGGAAAAAAAATAGAGATCAAGCCTATTGGCCAAGCCCAATATTATTTTTTTACGAGTTTGGGCCGAACTGGATCATGGGTCAAAATCTTAAGCATAAGCCTTACACAATGGGTTTGGCTCAGACGAACTTGCAGACCAAACAGAGTAGGCCAATGCATCGCCTCTTACAAGTTAATAGGCTAAGTTCGTTGGCTTAGCCCAACAAACTAAGATTTAAGCCTTATTTTTTCATTAATTTTCTACTTTTCCCATAATGTTTTCATAATTTCTAATGGGCTCAAGGGTTGGCCCGATGGGCTGCTTCCCACGGGCCAAGATCGTAGGCAAACCAATAGATGGGCCCATGACGAGGCCCTATTAACAACACTCTTATCACTATTAAAAACACTCTTATTATATCATCCTCTAATAAATATTTATTTGTATTTAGAATTAACGGTTTCTATTTTACAACTTACAAGAAGATAATAATAAAATGATTGATTTCATTTGCTACCATTGTTTAGGTTTTACCCCACCTTTATGTGAGAACTTTTGCATTCTGTGCACTGATTTTCTTTGTAAATAATAGTTGTCTTTACTAAACTCAAAACTTGAAATGATGCAGAGGTATGGAGATGGGCCTGAAGATGAACTATCACTGGAAGAGAATGGAGACTACACAAGAGAAATTGGATACATAAAGTATGCAAATTATGCAACAATTGTAACAGAATGCAACTTACATGACAACTTCCTCAACAATGTTTGGTACCAACCAGAGGAAGTTTTCCCCATTGATGGAACTCCTGAGGAAAGGCAACATGCCTTTTGGGTCCCAGTTGATTCCCATTACTTTGAATTATCCAAAAACCTTGAGGTAAGCCTCCTCACAATTATTTTCTCATTTTTTTTAATTGTCCAGTTGCACAGTTCGGAGTACTATGGAATATTGTTTAAATGATATTTTTAACAAATAAAAAATTAGAAAACATATTAAATACGATGTCATTGTCTCCCAACTACCTAACAAAGGTGAGTTGTTATTGTTTTAGTTGAGAGTATCATGTAAACAATGTCACATGATACTTTGGGATTATTGAATACACTATCCATCCAGTTGGGCTCTTGAGACTTACCACGAGTTCTATTTTAATAATTGAATCTATTTATTTTGTAATTTCTATGTATAAAATTCATATATTATGTTATTACAATTTTTTTTCAAAAATAAAAATAAAACAAAGAAATAGATGGTAAGTATGAGTTTGATAATAAACAGTCGATTTTGTTTGAAAATAAATATAATGAAATAATATAATTATGATTGATAGATTAATTTGATATATTTATTTATTTTTATTTTTTTATGAATGATTTAGGCAAAAAGACCTACAAAAATTAATGAATGGATCAAAAACAGCCATGGCCCACGAACCTAATTAGACTGTCTAGCAGCACACCAAGACGGACTAGGAATAGTATGCTCCTTCACGAAATAAAACAAGGAAAGGCTATGGCACATCCACTTTATAGAATTTAACATCAAAAATTTGTTTTTTAGTTTGGTTTAAAAATAGGACATTTTGGTTATAGGTCAATTTATTAATTTTTTAGGTCAAGGTCAAAATTGTAATTTTTTTGGGCCAAAATATACAATTTGTTCAAAAGGATAATTATTTGTCGAAATCAACCTATCTGTCTATTTTTTGAAATCATCTAATTTGTCTATCTGTTAAAATTCACCAAACTATTTGTCTGTTGAATATTACACATTTCACTATCTCACCACTACCATTTGCTGCTGCCAACGACTTTTCCGGCCAATTTTCTGGCTCCTTTTTTGACGTTGGTGAAATTTTTTGAAGATTTTTCCAGCGCCTGCGACTTTTCTAACACGTCGTTATTACCAAATAATATTTTACCCTGGATCTAATGCCTTACACCCTCTTTAAATTGGACTTTTCACTAATTTTCTCTTAAAAATATTGGTACAAAAATAAAAATACCATGTGTTTTAAAAGAATTTGTTGTTTTTATTTCTAAAAAACACTTTCCTCTAGGATTGGAGGGTCTAGGTTGTGAATCGACTCCGGGCCCAACTAATCAGTTATCTATGAATTATTTTTGTAGATTATCAAATTAATTGAATATCAGTAGTCATACAAATGTGATCCAATTCCGTGACTACTAGTGTCATATAAGATAAACGATCATCAGATTGATGCCATGTTAATGTTAAGTGTTGAATCTATACAACTCTCTAAAAAACTCTCTCTAAAAAACCTCCATCTCTGGCCTCACCGCTGGCCAACCGGTCACCGCCTTTGGCCATGGCAGTTGGCTGGGCTAGCTTTTCTTCTTGTGTTAGTGTTCTTTTCTCCTAATAATCTTGAGCTCCCATTTGTTTTCCCTTTTTCTCCTATTCAGATCTAATCTCTAGATTTGCCTAGGATGCTCTTTGTTTTGGGTGATTGTTTTCACAGCTTTGTTAGGTGGGTTTGGTGGATTCTTTCTTAGATTGAAGAGGTTCGGTGGTAGTGGTGCTTCGGCCATGGGGTTCAGTTTCGGCCTTGGATTTCGGTTTATGGGAGTTGCGTTGACCATGGGTGGGTTGGTTCAGGAACTTCATTCGGGCACTTCTCTGCGAGCGGGAGTTTGAGGGGTGGAGGATCCAGAGTTGTTTAAGATCTTCATTTGAGCGCTCCGTGTGAGTGGGAGTTTGAGGGGTGATTTTTGTTCAACTCTATGGTGGTCGGAGCTTGTGTTCGGTTAAGAGGAGAATGGAGCCGGGTCTACAAAGAGGGGTCTGTTCAGCGTGTTGGTGAGGATCAACCGAGGGAGGTGTTTGGGAGAGGAAAACCGTGGGAGAAATTTAAGATGGAAACTGGATTTTCAGGGTAGAAGCGTTGTGAAGAAGAACCGAACCAGTGGCTGCTGAAGAAGAACCAAAGAAGAAGGCAGCAGCAGCAAAAAAGGAGGCACCAGTAGCAGTTCCGGCAGAGGTCGAAGTCGAGAGCAAGGAATTTGTTGACTCAAGGAGGAGAAACCAGCAGGTATTGAAGTCACAGGTGGTTCTCGGTAGCAACCTGAGTGTCCGGCAGCAATGATACAGACTCAAGCGTGGAGAGCAAGGCGTAGTGACAGCAACCCAGTCGAGAGCAAGACGTGGGTGTCCGGCAATGGTGGTTCGAGACGGGTAGTTCTCGACGGCAATGGAGCCTGTGTGTCCGGCAATTGTGGAGGTTGAGTGCCCAAGAGAGTCAGGCGCGAGGCAGTCCGACAATGGTGTAGGGTGTAAGAATGTGTGGCTCAAGAGTGTATCAAGTGTCTTAGTTAGATGTGGGGTGTATAGCTGTGTGTTAGGTGTTAGGTGGGGGCTCAAGAGTGTGTTTTATTTTACTCTTTTCTTTTTTCTTTTTTTTCTCTAGTTGCTTTTTAAAATTTAAAACCGTGAGGCTAAGAGGTTGGTTGTAAGAACGCGAGTAGCAGTAGTAGGAGAGTGAATTTTTACTCTTCGAATCTCTCTCAATGCGTTTTATCTCCTTGTACCTTCAAATTTCATATTTAATGGAATTTTTCTTTGCCGATCAAAAAAAAAAAAAATATAAGATAAACGATCTACTTGAAGAGCACCATATGGTGGTTGAAATTATCAAAATGAACCCAAAGTGAGCACATAGCACATGAACTCCCTCTAGTCCAATTCGTAGACTAGAGAAACTAATCCCAAAAATAAAAAATGGAGAAAATGAAAAGATAACTAAACTGGTTCTAATTGTGTGGATTACATAATGAATTTCCATTAACAAATTTTTGAAGTACACAGAATTCAATCACAATATCCCTCTCACACGAGTCTAATTCTATAATCACATTCTCTGCACATAAAACCCCAACAGCTGACTTCTTAAACCCGTCTACCTTGTTTGATCATTTAGAGTTTGGAACTAGAGGGCTGCCTAAACTCAACAACATGTTTGTCTGAGACACCAAAGGTGACAAGAGTCCTAAGAGGAACTAGTGCAAGCATATACCTAGACAATGCAGCTTATAGAAACTTCTTATATAGAAAATTCAATATGAGCCCAGTTGACATGGAGAGTGCAGCTGTGGCACTCATTTGTCTTCAACAAAGAATACCTTTCATCACCATCAGGGCTCTCTCCGACTTGGCCGGTGGCGGTTCTGCCCAGTCCAATGAGGCTGCTACTTTCATTTCTCTTGCTGCTAACAACTCTGTCACAGTTGTTGTGGAATTCATCAAGAACTTGTCAGCCAATTACATAATTTCAAGTGCTTAGATGATCAATCAGAGAGTTTGATTCTAAGTAGATTGTCTTGCTGCTACTATGTTTGAATTAATAAGAGGCATAGCATGGGACTCACTTATGCTTTACTGTTTTTTTTTTTGTTTTTTTTTTGTTTCTGTTTTTGTGTGTATTTGTGTTGAATGTTGTATTTTCGTAACTTGTCATGGGTACGCCATGGGTACGGCGTGGGTACGCCAAGGCCAATTTTTTTTTTTTTTTTTTTGCCCTTGCAAATTAGCAATTATTATTATTATTTTTTATTTTTTTTGGTGCCCTTGCAGATCAGTAATTTTGATGTTTCTCTGTTGTCCTGTTTGTCTGTATAAATTGTAGAAGCATATCAACAAATGATTTTAATGTTTTTAAAAAGCAATTTGAACAAAAAAAAATAACAAGACCTATAAAGGGTAGTTCTGTGTATGACTATGCATTATGTTTTTGCTTTAGATCCTCCTAGAATTTCTTTATAAAATCTTTAATCATAACAAACTTTTAAAGTTTATGCACAAAACATTAAAAATTGATACTGTATTAGTTGATTAGTAGTTGTTGGGAATGATGCAATTTTATGTATTATGCAAATTGCAATTGACAACCTGCACCAATTGAGAATTTTTTTCCTTTATTGTTGGTAATTAATTTTAAATCTTTCTTTGGTCTCCTGTTATTTCTTTGGTCTCACCCTATAAAAATAGCAAATTGATGAGCAAAAAGGAAGATTTTAAAAATAAATTATGATCACAAATTCACAGTGCATAACATATCAAAGTGAGAGATTTCACAAATATTATTTTTAACGCTTAATGGTTTTAAATTATAGGAAAATGAGTAGTTCTTTTTTTAGTTTTGATATTTAATTTTAATTTGTAGGTTGGATCCTTTAATCAAAATTATATTTAAAAAAAAAAAAAAATATCGGCGTACCGTAGCCGTACCCGTATCGTACTTTTTTTGAATTTTGCCGAATCGGCGTACCCGCACTCGTACCCGTACCGTACTCGTGCCCGCACCCGTGCTTCCGTTGAATGTTGTATTTTCATAACTTGTTCACTTAACTAGTGGTGGATGAACAATAATTGGCTATGTATTGATTCTGGGCTTAAGGCCATTTTAGGTGTTGTGTTCAAAATTTTCGTTTTTTTTTTTGTTTTTTCTTAACTAATAAAATTAATAAAAAAAGTTCGGAAACATTCATGGTTTTTATTTTGTGCGAAAGTGATTTTAAAAAATTCAAGAAACAATTTAAAATTATTTCTTAAAAAATGGTTATCTTGAAAAAAAATTCTCAAAAACAGTTTGCTATACAAGTTTTTATTTTTTATTTTTTATATAATGTTTCGTATTATCTATTTTCAAGAATAAAAAATAAAAAAGAAAAATGATAGCAAACACATCTAGTTGATCCCTTTCTAAGATTGAGGATCAACAAGTGGACTAAAAGCCACACAAAGAACCCCTTCCCCCGTGAAGCACCAAAAGAACTTGAAAAGCTCAGTCAATGAGTAAAAGTCACCACATATTTATAGTCACCGAGTTCTTCATAAAGTTAATCCAAGTTGAAATATGTTTCCTTGCAATTCAATCCAAAACTAGTAAGAAAACACTCAAAACAAAATTTTAAGAAATCAAGATCAATTTTAAGTTTTCTCAGGAATCCGAACCCAACCATACAAAGAATGGGAGTCTAGTTGCTCAAACAAACTAAAATACTAATTTTGATGCAGATAAAAAATATCCAAGGCGGCGCCTAAGTACACTCTCGCTACACTCTGACTACACCCGATCCCACACAGACAACGAACTAGTGGTTGCTGAAGAAGAACCAAAGAAGGAGGCAGCAGCAACAGCAGCAAAAAAGGAGGCACCGGTTGCAGTTCCGGCAGAGGTCGAAGTCGAGAGCAAGGAATTTGTTGACTCAAGGAGGAGAAACCAACAGGCATTGAAGTCACAGGTGGTTCTTGGCAGCAACTTGAGTGTCCGGCAGCAATGATACAGACTCAAGTGTGGAGAGCAAGGCGTAGTGACAGCAGCCCAGTCGAGAGCAAGGCGTGGGTGTCCGGCAATGATGGTTCGAGACGGGTAGTTCTCGACGGCAATGAAGCCTGTGTGTCCGACAATTATGGAGCTTGAGTGCCCAAGAGAGTCAGGCGCGAGGCAGTCCGACAATGGTGTAGGGTGTAAGAACGTGTGGCTTAAGAGTGTATCAAGTGTCTTAGTCAGACGTGGGGTGTATGGCTGTGTGTTAGGTGTTAGGTGGGGGCTCAAGAGTGTGTTCTATTTTACTCTTTTCTTTTTTCTTTTTTTTCTCTAGTTGCTTTTTAAAATTTAAAATCGTGAGGCTAAGAGGTTGGTTGTAAGAACGCGAGTAGCAGTAGTAGGAGAGTGAATTTTTACTCTTTGAATCTCTCTCAATGCGTTTTATCTCCTTGTACCTTCAAATTTCATATTTAATGGAATTTTTCTTTGCCGATCAAAAAAAAAAAAAATATAAGATAAACGATCTACTTGAAGAGCACCATATGGTGGTTGAAATTATCAAAATGAACCCAAAGTGAGCACATAGCACATGAACTCCCTCTAGTCCAATTCGTAGACTAGAGAAACTAATCCCAAAAATAAAAAATGGAGAAAATGAAAAGATAACTAAACTGGTTCTAATTGTGTGGATTACATAATGAATTTCCATTAACAAATTTTTGAAGTACACAGAATTCAATCACAATATCCCTCTCACACGAGTCTAATTCTATAATCACATTCTCTGCACATAAAACCCCAACAGCTGACTTCTTAAACCCGTCTACCTTGTTTGATCATTTAGAGTTTGGAACTAGAGGGCTGCCTAAACTCAACAACATGTTTGTCTGAGACACCAAAGGTGACAAGAGTCCTAAGAGGAACTAGTGCAAGCATATACCTAGACAATGCAGCTTATAGAAACTTCTTATATAGAAAATTCAATATGAGCCCAGTTGACATGGAGAGTGCAGCTGTGGCACTCATTTGTTTTCAACAAAGAATAACTTTCATCACCATCAGGGCTCTCTCCGACTTGGCCGGTGGCGGTTCTGCCCAGTCCAATGAGGCTGCTACTTTCATTTCTCTTGCTGCTAACAACTCTGTCACAGTTGTTGTGGAATTCATCAAGAACTTGTCAGCCAATTACATAATTTCAAGTGCTTAGATGATCAATCAGAGAGTATGTGAGCCCAGTTGACATGGAGAGTGCAGCTGTGGCACTCATTTGTTTTCAACAAAGAATACCTTTCATCACCATCAGGGCTCTCTCCGACTTGGCCGGTGGCGGTTCTGCCCAGTCCAATGAGGCTGCTACTTTCATTTCTCTTGCTGCTAACAACTCTGTCACAGTTGTTGTGGAATTCATCAAGAACTTGTCAGCCAATTACATAATTTCAAGTGCTTAGATGATCAATCAGAGAGTTTGATTCTAAGTAGATTGTCTTGCTGCTACTATGTTTGAATTAATAAGAGGCATAGCATGGGACTCACTTATGCTTTACTGTTTTTTTTTTTGTTTTTTTTTTGTTTCTGTTTTTGTGTGTATTTGTGTTGAATGTTGTATTTTCGTAACTTGTTCACTTAACTAGTGGTGGATGAACAATAATTGGCTATGTATTGATTCTGGGCTTAAGGCCATTTTAGGTGTTGTGTTCAAAATTTTCGTTTTTTTTTTTTTGTTTTTTTTTTTTGTTTTTTTTAACTAATAAAATTAATAAAAAAAGTTCGGAAACATTCATGGTTTTTATTTTGTGCGAAAGTGATTTTAAAAAATTCAAGAAACAATTTAAAATTATTTCTTAAAAAATGGTTTTCTTGAAAAAAAATTCTCAAAAACAGTTTGCTATACAAGTTTTTATTTTTTATTTTTTATATAATGTTTCGTATTATCTATTTTCAAGAATAAAAAATAAAAAAGAAAAATGATAGCAAACACATCTAGTTGATCCCTTTCTAAGATTGAGGATCAACAAGTGGACTAAAAGCCACACAAAGAACCCCTTCCCCCGTGAAGCACCAAAAGAACTTGAAAAGCTCAGTCAATGAGTAAAAGTCTCTACGTATTTATAGTCACTGAGTTCTTCATCAAGTTAATCTAAGTTAAAATATGTTTCCTTGCAATTCAATCCAAAACTAGTAAGAAAACACTCAAAACAAAATTTTAAGAAATCAAGATCAATTCTAAGTTTTCTCAGGAATCCGAACCCAACCAAAGAAGGGGAGTCTAGTTGCTCAAACAAACTAAAATACTAATTTTGACGCAGATAAAAAATATCCAAGGCGGCGCCTTACACTCTGACTACACCCGATCCCACACGGACAATAGTAAAAAAATTCCTGCAGCAGTTCTACACTGATGCACACAAAATTTCTACCCGAGCACATCTAGACAACATAAACAAGGCAAAAAAAACACCACCAAATCAAGAAGTTTTAAGGTACCAGACTGCTGCAGAATGAATGACTTTTTTTGCTCGTTGGTGACTTTTATTAGATTAATGACTTTTTTTGCGCATCTTTAGCATTTTTCATAAATGAATAGGATAATTTTTCCTTTAACCATTTGCTTCCCAATTTTTATTAGATTAATTAAAAAGATTAAATTCTCTTGAGAAATTCAATCCACTAAATAAGAAGCTCGCAACTAAATAATATTAAGATAATACAAACCAATTAAAACTAGTTCAGTTGATCAGAATTCTTACATCTCAATTACACAACATAGAATATCAGGCATTGGTTTGAGATGGTTTGGCCTACATGCTACACGGAGTGAGTTTATCCGACTCTATGGTGTGAAAACTATGAGACGAAGATTAGACTTGTTCTTGCTCTTCCAATTCAGGAAGACGGAAATCACGGGTTGGGTTGGTCCAACCAAGAAAGGCATGGGAGTCTTTGGGCATTGCTTGGGCTGAGTTAGGTAAAGACTGGTTGCCTAGAAAGATCTCTCACTGCACACTTTCGATATATCTGTCTCTATTATTGGCTGCATGCTATAGTTATGAATCCGAGATAGAACAATGGGGAGGTTGTGTTGGGTTGAGATGATGAGAAAGAACAACATTAACTTCTTTTGACCAAAATATGGCTTTGAATTTTTTGAATAGAGCCATATGGAAGAATAGATCCATGTGGCTGACCGAAGTAATACAGATTAAGGCTGGTTGAGTTAGGTGGTAGAAATACTTGGGATGGTTACACTAGCAAAGAATCATTAAAACTTTGGCCTCCCTTTAAGTCATATTTTTTTTTGGAAATGTTGATCACAATTGGTGTTTAACTTTGCAGCAAGGATTCCCTGTCTCCAAAAATTTCTGTCCTCTGTCCCAAATCACGCATAACCATTGGATTATTTGAGAATCTCAAGACATATTTAATGATTGTAAATAATTTAGGACATGGAGACAGAAATTTTTAAGGACAGAGATCCTTCTTCTGTTTGCCATTATTTTAAATAATTTCTCTATCAAATATCCCAACAGTAGTTTAGTAAATTGGTGCCTCAAACAAGTTAATAATGAAGACATTTTCTTCTGGGTCATATCATCTTTTATCCTTTGCTTTATATGCCATGTGCAGAAATTTAGAAATGTCTTTTCGTTTCTCATACTTTAGTATCCGTCTGTACGTAAGTTGGAGAAGAAATATCAAGTCCTTTCCACTCAAACTATTGAACTTCAACCTAACGTTATTCTCATCTTAACTAAGGTAGTGATTCAGCATTTTCAGCCCAATACTCTGCAGGTGTAGTTTGTATTCATTATGTATACATATAACATAAAGTAGTTTAATTAGTGTCTCCGAACAGATTTAGGACTTGTTAATTGGGTTTTAACTCTAAGGATCCAGACTTTTGTGAAAATCTTTAGTATCTATAGGCCCTCCATTCAAAATTTTAGCAGCAGAAACAAGAAGAACGAAAAGAAAAAACAGGTGTAAATATGAGAAGTCAACTTTCTTCTTTCGTATTTGAATCTCTCTGTCAAGATTTTAGCATTAAAAAAAAAAAAAACAATAAAAAAAAAACACATGCATTGCTAAACAAGCAATAAAACGATGAATGTTTCGGAAGTTCACTGCTACTTTTGCACTTTTTTGATCTATCCACTTTTCACAATTTTCTCTTGTGAAATTTAGGGCTTCATTAAAATGAAGAGGAACTGCTGCAATTTATGACAGAGTTCACATTGCTCATAGAACTTCATTTCATTTTTATTCGGCCTATTTAACCGATAAGAATATATTATTGCGTCTCTGTTTCATTTGACAATGATCAAAGATTTCCTTAGATTTGCTCAAATTTGATTTCTGACAAACTTGCAAGTGCGATTTTACATTTCGTTTTTTTTCTTGAATTCTATCAAGGTTATTCTCAACATGTGCATAGTTAAGATAGTGCAGTCACATCATTTCTCCGTGTCTGGAAGGCAACTCAGGATCGTCCTCATTTTGTTTTCAATAAAATTGAGGATTGTTTTTTTTTTTTTGCATGCAAAACGAATTTATCATTGAACCTTAGCTGTTCATTAAATTATACATTTTATGAATCTTGTTCCTAAATGTGCAATGCGTTAACTCTTCTATGTCAAATACATATATTACGGATTGAAAAGTTATGGAGGTGAATCAAGGAAGTTGGAAGCCGGTGTTGAGAAAGCATGGTGATCAAGGTTACAAGAGTAGAGGAATGGATACTGATATTCACACGATTTTCGTGGATAATCAGCAAGAATCAATGGATCCAAAAGGGTTGTTTAAAGTCTTCACCAATTTTGGGATTGTAAAGGATGTGTACATCCCAAACAAAAGACGGAAGTTGACGCGATCCAGATTTGGTTTTGTACATTATGTCTATCCCGTAGCAGCAAAGATGGCAGTCCAGAAAGCTCATGGACTCTGGTGTGACAACAAAGCATTGAAAGTAAAAGTAGCGGATTTTGCCAAAGGTAAGGAAGAACATCAGAGGTTATCAAAAGCATCAGTTGGATGGAGGGAGCTTGGTCATATTAGCAGAGTTCTAACTGAATGGAGGGTGATTGGTAATACTAGTAGAGCTCCAGGTATGGTCCAAAGGGGGAAGTCATATGCACAAGCTGTCAGTGGAAGAGGGCTTGAGATCAGTACTACCATGACTATAAATGCTTTTGAGGAAGGCATTGGTTGGCTCTATAACAGTGTGATTGTTAGATTTAAGCCATCAAGCTGTGTGGCAGAGTTTAAAGAGGAGCTACCGATTAAAGGAAGGGGTGACATTCAGGTTAGACACGGAGGAGGCAGAGATCTAGTTCTGACTTTCGACTCAGCAGGTAGAATGAAAGAGAAAACAAAACAAATAGAGGGCTGGCTTTCTGAGTGGAGTGAGTCAGTCAAAGAATGGAAACAGGGGATGGCTATCGATCAGGAGAGGCTGATTTGGCTTACATGTTATGGTGTGCCTCTCAATCTATGGAATAATAAAACGTTCAATAATATTGGGAGGTTGTGGAGGGAAGTCATTGGCATGGATGATGATACACTTAGAATGCACTCATTCCACTGTGGAAGGGTATGGGTAGACACAAAATGTATAGAGTTCATTAATACAATTATCAACTTAAGCTGCAAGGGGACAACTTACCCAGTAACAGTATGTGAAGATCAGGTGGCTAGATCAAAGATGCTGTATCAACATTGTAAGTGTTACAATCTGCAGAAAAAAGGGGATAATCGCAACTCCAATGGTGAAGGAAAGGATTGGAGGTCAAAAGTGGAGAGCAAGAGGGTTGAGGATGAAGCTGAGGTGGAACACCAGGTCAGAGGTGAGCTGGACAGAGAAGGTGATGTGGAGGTAGCAGGGTCTGGGACAAGGCATGAAGGGCATAATGATACTGCTGATCTAGATAGGTGGCGGAGTAGGTCTATGGTTGCAGAGACTGACATCAACTTGGGAAAAAAAACAGTGGGGACGCATGCAAGGGAAGGTCAGATACACTAGTGCAAAACTCTATGCAACTTCAAAATGTTGAGGCTGAAGAAGTTGTTTCTCTGGGCTTTATGAGAAGTCTAAGTGGGTTTGAGAGGCATAGAGCTGGGCTTAACATTGAAGTTTTATTACGTAAGGCCCAAGATGAGGGTGGAAATTTTTTGGGCCATAACTTGTCTGGGGAAGGTATATCCGAGTTCCAGCCCACAAAGGATAATTTTGCTCATAACGAAGAAGTGCTGGAAGCCCAATTCAGAATCGAGAAGGAGAAGAACAGTGTGGCCAAGAATAAGTCTGTAATGCCAGCTCCAAAAAGAACAGTGAACAAGAAAGGAAAAGCAAAAAGGACGCTGAACTTTCAAGGTAAGAGGAAAGGATCTCTTCACCTAGGGGATGGACCATCTTTGAATCTTAAGAAATGAGTCGTGTTTCGGTCTGCTGTTGCAGCAATATCCCTATCAATGGCCAGCAAAGCTGGTAGTGGGCAGCTTCTACTCAATGAGGCAGAGGCATCCCTCCAATTAAGGCATGTTCTTGGGTTGAAATGTAAAGGTAATGAGGAAGAAGTCATTAGCAAGTTGATGGAGTTGGAGTCAAATGATAAAGAAAAAATGGTGAATAAGGGTGGTCAAACCGACTGATTTAGATGAGCCGCTGCTTTGGTGAAAATTTGGTCTCTAATGAAGTTAGTTTCATGGAATGTAAAAGGGCTTGGTCAGCCTATTAAAAGAAGGAAAGTCAAAAAATTATTTGTTGAGAGAAAGGTAGATATGGCACTGCTTCAAGAAACTAAGAGGACATCAATTGATGAACAGTTTGTTAGATCATGTTGGCCGGTTGAGAAGATGGAGTTCATGGCAATAGATTCAGTTAGAGCAGCTGGTGGCTTGCTTTGCATTTAGAACCCAGATGTTTTTTAACTTGTGGATTGCTGCTGTAACAGGAATTTGATCCTTTTGACAGGTACTCTTTATGGTAGCTTCGATTGTGTGTTTGTTAATGTTTATGGTCCAAATGATGTTACTAGCAGAAGTAGGGTATGGGCTATTTTGCATAGGCTGAAGTCAGGGGGTGAAAAACCTTGATGTTTGGGGGGTGATTTTAATGAAGTTAGAAGTATATCTGAAAGAAAGGGTTGTTCTAGAAGGGATAGAGGTATGTGTGATTTCAATGAGCTAATTGAAAACCTAGAAGTGTGTAATATTCTAATGTTGGGAAGGAAATTTACCTGGTGTAACTCTCAACAAGGAGATAAATGAAGCAGGTTGGACAGGTTTTTGCTTAGTCCAAAATGGTTGCAGAAGTTCAATTTCAAATTATAGGGTCTACCAAGAAGGCTATCTGATCATTGCCCTATACTGCTCTTGGAAGATGAGAGGGATTGGGGTCCAAAGCCTTTCAAATTCCTGAATGCCTGGACCCTTCATCCTCTTTTCAAATCCTTTGTGGACAAAATTTGGAAGGAAACTCCTGTAGATGGCTGGGTTGGTTTCCAATGCTTAAGGAAACTTAAATCCCTTAGAATAGCACTGAAACAATGGAACCAGGAAGTTTTTGGAAATGTGGATTATAAACTCAAGCTCTTGGAGGAGGAATTACATGTTCTTGATTTGACAGCTGAGGAAAGGCCACTGTCAGAGGCAGAGTTGAACAGAAGAAAAGAGGCTAAAGAGGAAGCATGAAAGTTAAGTACTATGGTGGAATGGGTTTGGTTACAGAAATCTAGAGTTAACTGGGTTTTGAAAGGTGATAAAAACACAAAATTCTTTCATGTGATGGCTGCATCTAGAAATAATAGAAATGCTTTGTGCTCGCTTTCTGTTAATGGGGTTATAAAGGAGAATCCAGCTGATATAAGGGCTGAGGTATTGCTTCATTACAGAAGGCTTTTTTTTGAATCCTGGTTCAGTAGACCAAGTTTATCTGGCCACTTTCAATCCATTGGAGGAGATGAGGTTAGAGCTGCTTTAGAAGTGGAGTTTTTAGAATCAGAAGTGTTAGCAGCAGTTAAAACCTGTGATGGAAACAAGGCTCCTAGGCTTGATGGGTTCAACTTGATGCTGTTTCAGAAGTGCTGGCAGTCAATAAAAGGGGATGTGATGCAGTTTATGAGTGAGTTTCATCAAAACTCTAAACTGGTGCATGGAATTAATAGCTCTTTTGTTGCGTTGATTCCTAAAAATGATAATCCTACTTGCCTCAGTGACTACAGGCCTATTAGTCTCATTGGTTCGCTTTACAGAGTGCTTGCAAAAGTTTTGTCAAACAGAATAAAACTTATAGTGTCAAGGATTATTAGTGAATCTCAATCAGCTTTTATAGGAGGTAGAAGTATCTTGGATGGAGTGCTGATTGCAAATGAAATTGTTGATGGTTGGAAGAAGAATCAGAGGAAGGGTATTGTTTTGAAGCTGGATTTTGAGAAAGCTTACGACTCAATCAATTGGGAATTTCTCTTCTCTATGCTTGCAAGCTTTGGGTTTGGCTCTAAATGGATTAAGTGGATGCAAGAATGTGTCTCATCAGCTAAGATCTCCATTTTGGTTAATGGATCACCGGCATCTGAATTTAGTCCTCAAAGGGGGCTTAGGCAAGGTGATCCATTATCACCTTTTCTTTTTAATATCGTGGCAGAGGGTTTGAACATATTGATGACCAGAGCTAGGCTGATGGGCTTGATTAAAGGTGCAGTGGTTGGTTCAAATGATCTTAGCATTACTCATTTGCAGTTTGCGGATGACACAATAATTTTTTTGTGAAGCAGATAGGGAGGAGGTTCTTACTATTAAATGGATTTTGAGGTGCTTTGAAATAGTGTCTGGGCTGAAGATTAATTATTATAAGAGTGTGGTGTGTGGGATTAGGCTTATTGATGAGCTATCTAAGGAATATGCATCCGTGCTGAATTGTGTTCATCAAAGTTTGCCTTTAAATTATTTGGGTATGCCCTTGGGGGGTAATCCAAGGAGAAGATGGGCTTGGAAACCAATAATTGATAAAGTTAACCAGAAGTTGGCTTCTTGGAAAAAGGAGGTTCTTATCTTTTGCTGGTAGGTTGACTATGATAAAGTCTGTGCTATCATCCTTACCAATATATTATCTATCTTTGTTCAAGATGCCTGAAGGGGTTGCTAAGGAGATTAACAAAATCTAGTCCAGATTTTTATGGGGAGATGATGCTCTAAGAAGGAAAATTCATCTAGTAAAATGGGGGGAAGTAACACAAAGCAAAAGTTATAGGGGCTTAGGTATAAGAAAAGTGAGGCTTATGAATGCTTGTCTTCTCTTGAAGTGGTGGTGGAGATTTGGATCTGAAACTAATGCTCTCTGGAAAAAAGTCATTTGCAGCAAATATGGTGAGATTGGAGGGGGGTGGTGGCCACTACTTGTTAAGGGTCCAAGGTTATCTCTGGTCTGGAGAGATATCCAGGGGATTGCTGCCCATTGGCCTCAGTTGGTGGAATTCTTCAAAATTAATATCTCCTTTATTGTTGGTGATGGAAGGAACATCAGGTTCTGGCTTCATAATTGGGTTGGTAACGTATGTCTCAAAGATGAATTTCCAAGACTATATTCTGTGCCTCTTGACAAAAATGAATCTGTGGAAAGGTTAAGCAGTAGGAGAAATGGAAATGAAGAGTGGAAGCTGGTGTTCAGGAGAGCCTTGTTCCAGTGGGAACTAGAAGATTTGAGGAGACTGAGAATAATGCTTCTTAATGCTCCAACTATTCGGGATGGGATGGTGGACAGGTTGAAATGGAATGCAAGAAATTCTGGGGTTTTTACTATGTCTTCTGCCTATGAGTGGAGTGCAGCATCTGTTGAAGCTAGTAGTAACTTAGTAGGGTGTATATGGAAGAATTTGGCTCCACCTATTCGGGATGGGATGGTGGACAGGTTGAAATGGAATGCAAGAAATTATGGGGTTTTTACTATGTCTTCTGCCTATGAGTGGAGTGCATCATCTGTTGAAGCTAGTAGTAACTTAGTAGGGTGTATATGGAAGAATTTGGCTCCACCTAAGGTGCAGCTCTTTGGGTGGTTAGCATGGAAGGAGAGAATTAAGACAACCAGCTATCTTCAAAGACTAGGTGTCCTTAATGCTGCTTCAGACATTAACTGTATTTTCTGCAGGGATGAAGTAGAGGATATAAATCATGTGCTGCTGTTTTGCCCATTTATTTGGAGGATTTGGTCAAATATTATTAGTTGGTGGGGTGTTTATTGGGCAATGCCTAGATTCGTGTCTGGTTTGTTTCAGTGGTGGATTGGATTAAAACTAAAAAAAAAGGAGTTATCCATCTGGAAAGCTATACCATTGGCGGTGTTTTGGTCTATTTGGAAGCAGAGGAATGAAAGCATTTTTAAGGGCTCGCCGGTGAATTTTGAAGGGCTATGTGATTCAATAAAGGTCAGGGTAGCTGTATGGGTCAGAACTTCTAACCCCTCCTTTACTTACTAAATTAATGATATTGTGTATAATCTCAAGCAGGTCAGATTTTGTCTGAGGGGATGATTTCGTCTGGATTTGATTTTTCTGGGGCTTATGTGACTTTGCCCGCTGCTGTATGGTGTGCACTCAACCAACTTTGAAATGCTGAGTATTTTGCAGCCCAAGTTCTGCATCTGGTCTGAATGTTGGACTGATCTGTCTTGCATCTGAGTTGCATCTGTGTCTCTAGGCTTTTCAGCAGCCCAAGTTATCATGGTCTAATCAAAGGAAATGGATTTTTCTTTTTGGGTATGATCTGGGTTGAATCTGATATGTTCTATATGTGTGAATCTGCTCTGTTCTATTTGTGTCCTGAATCTGCTATGATTGGCAGTGCTGATGGGTGGAGTGTGTTGCTTTGGTTTGGGTTGTTACAGAGAACATTATGTTCTATTGGAGGGATTCAAGCCCAATGCTAATCTGTGGAATGCTGAATTGGTAGGTGATAATTGAAGGAGTCAATGTACTGCTATGTTTAGTCTACTAAGTTGGTTGTGGTTATGCTATGGTGTTTAGCTGGAAGTCATCCTAGCAGCTGCTCTCTTTCCATGCTAGAGTGTGGCAATCAGTTTGAGGATGCTTAGTCTTGGTGTTTGCTGAAGGTATGGGTATGCTGTACCCGACTGCACTTTTGGTGGCTTCTCCAACAAACTCTGGCAGCTGCTCTCTACTGTTGCTATTCCAAGTCAATTTTGGTGTTGCTTTCAGGTGTTTAAAGCTGCATGATTTGCTTGAGGTTGGGAGCTTATCTATATGGATGGTAATTATGCTAGCAATAAGAGCTCAAGGCTCTCAAAATGAGGTCGAGTCTGGGCTGTGTTTCAATTCTGTTTTTTGGTCTGTTTTGGTGCTCTATGGTGTGTCTGCGTTGGTCCCTCACCAATTTTGGGGTGCTAGCAAATGATAGGATGAACTTTGTGGTGCCAACCTAGTTGGGATCATTTAGCTCATTGTGATGCTTTTGCACTTCCCTTTTCTTTATTGATGTAATCTGTCTTGTACCTTGTACTTGTTTTATTCCATCAATAAAGTATCTTTTTTTGCCGATCAAAAAAAAAAAAGTGCAATGCGTTGATTTTTTATTTTATTTTATTTTTTAAACATGTAGATTATATTGGATGTTACAAGTAACATGGCAGCAGAAGTTGGAGGTAGACCATGGTTTAACATCTGGAAAAGCAAGACATCAACACCAGAAATAGTTAGCCGTGTTTTTTTTTTTTTTTTTATTAGGAAAAGAAAATTTATTGATGAAAATCAAATGTACAGAATACAAAGATGAATATCAATAAAAGGAGGCGAGTGCGAAAGCTTCAAAGCAAACTAGATGATTGCAACTAGGTTGGGACCGGAAAGCAAGCCAATCATTTACTAACATTACACCATGGCTGCAGAGAAACCAACCGAACAAACAAAAAGCGAAGGAAATAATAACCACTCTCAACACCCAAAACACTGATCTTAACAGTCCATCTACACCTCATACCAAACAAAATCCCTTTCTAATTTGGACCCTCATAACAAACAATCACCTCAAACCAATACTCCATCTCTTGAATTTTGGAAGTACCAATGATGCTTTCAATAACTTCTTTTTCCTTTCTTTATTCCTTTGACTCGCATTGTTGGGATATGAGGCCTTATGAACACCTCCACCCTTATGCCTCTTAGAAGATTCCTCAATCTTAACCGAATTACTACTCACTATCGAAATAGAAGATTTTTCAACAATGTCAACCCCTTCCACAATTCCTTTTGGCCCAAGAGAGAAAAGTGAACTTGGCTTATAAGATACTTGTACAATCTTATTTTTTCCAATAGGAACTCCAAAATCTACAGCAGTGGATTTGGGCCTCCAAAATAATGAATGAACACGCCCATATTTATGTTGTGGGCCAAGTATACTCCTTAAATTAAGAGGTCTCATTTGCACCAAGTTTACCATAGCTCCTCCATAAAAACCATTTCTCTTCACACACTGATTGCTAGTTGATGATGACTCGTTTGATTTGTTTGAATTTGAGGAAAGCACCATTTTTTATCTCCAAACTCTTTTTTTCCCCATTGACAGAGATTTAAATAAAGATATACACTAAATTTGACTGCTACATCTTCATGAAAATCAAAGGTTTCACATATCCTAACAAGGTAAATGTTTCCTTTGTACTCCAAACTTATCACCGTATTTATAGGCTTCATGCTATTTGTTATCAATCTGACCTTGCCATATTCAAGAGAATCTGAATTGTTAACTTCAACAAATTGGATTACCTCACCCCATAAGCTACCAATGCTTTTGAATGTGTTAGCATTCCATAAGTTAAATGGAACTCCATAACAGCACAGCCAAACACATATCTCATAATTGAGATTTACCCCTTTTCTTCATTCTGTTACTGAAACACACTAATCATAGATCCACCCTTTCAATTGGTCATATCCCTCCTTTATAGCTTGTGATGAGTTGAAGGTTAGGACTACACTTCTACCTCCCCTTCTTCTGACTAATATCTCACCCAAACCTTTTTTTGCATAAATCGTCTCTAAATGCAGGAAAAGAGAAGGAGTTTTTGAGCTTCACTATCAAACTCACAGAAAGCCATTCATTATCTAACTCAAAAGCTTTTGCCACTAAATAATCCTTCTTATCAGTAACTCCACTTTTTATTGCTTCAGCATAAGATTTCTGACCTCCTGCCACTGTTAAACCTTGCCTAGACCACCTTTGTAAATCCATCTTCAAATGTTTATTCGATTCTGGCTTGTGTTGCTTTAATTGAGGCTTAGTAAACATTGCATTTTTAAATTTTAGCTCCTTATCCTCAACCCACAAACCATTTGCCTTTTGAACAGCCAAATTTTTTGCTACTGAGCAATCGAATCTAATGAAGCCGAATCTTGTACCTGTTACTATCCTTCTCTTCGCCGGGATGAACACATCATTCACTGCCCCAAATTTGTTAAACATGATATACAAGCTCTTTGCACCCATTGATTCAGGAATGTTATCCACAAAAATAGTGAACAATCCATCAATTTGGACACCGATATTGCTACCCTCTTTCCTCCTTAGAACTGGGTTCCAACCTCCACTAACTCTACCCTCTCGAAATCTTTTTTCCATCCCGTATGACTCTACTCTTTCCTCCATCCCATAGCCGAAGTTGCTCTGTATATCTCACTGTTCTTAACTTCTCCAAATCATAAACCAAGAGCAAAATCAACCCCAATATTGACACAAAGAAGTCCAAACCCAATAGTGTAATTAAAGGATACCAGAGTTACAAACAGAGACACAAGAGTTCACAAACAAGTCCAAAACACAAGCAGAGAGACCGAACCCAATAGTGGAATTAAAGGAAACCAGAGTTCACAAACAGAGACCCAAGAGTTCACAAGGATGAAACCTCACCTTGCAAGATCCATCGCCAAAGATTGAAGTTCACATGGTGCGGATCTGACCTGCGGACTCACCACGCAGATCCACATCTCTTCTCCCATTTGTTTGCCGCCAGAGCACAGATCTAATGGAACAGATCACTGTTCACCTGCTCTGGATCGAACGAAACCAAGAGTGAAACCAAATCGATCCAATCGAACGAAGAGAGATAGAGAGAGTTTGTCACCCAATCAAGCAGTGATCTTCACACCCTGGATGTGGAAGGAATATCGTTGGCTTTTTCATCAAATCACATTTGTATTTTAAAAAAAAGATAAATGTAATTTGAAATATAAAACTCAATACAAATGTGATTTGATGAAAGAGATAACAATATCCGATTGACGTGATTTTTTTACAGGTATATACTTAATACTTTCTAAAATATGAACGGTTCAAATTATCGAATTAGGCCCTAAAATGGGCCCAAAAGTGCACGCACCAGTTGCTGCTGCGCACCATGCGTAGTAGCAACCCCAAACTCAATGAACATTGTTGATGTGGTACTGAAATTTTGTTTGAAATTTTATTTTGCCTCCCAAACTATCTAAAAACTATCAACTAGACCTCAGATTTATATTGTTTAGGAATCTAATTGATATTTTGGGATAATTTGTGGGGTAAAATGAAATCTCAAATAAAGATAGCAACAAGTGTCATCTAATTATAGACGACAGCTGATGACAAAGGTAAAATTGATCCAATATTAAATAGTTTCAAGTGTAAAATTAAAATTATAAGAAGTATAATAGTTAAATTGATAATTAAAATATAGTTTAGGAAGCAAAATAAAATCTATTCTAAAAAGTCAACTGTTTTTTTATTTTTTAAAATCTTTTGAGGACTTTTTTTTGGACTTTTTAAAATTTTCAATTCATCTCGTTGGGTTGAACGTAGAATAGAAACACAAAACTTCTAAATTTTTTATTTTAAAAATCACTAAAAATGAAAAAAAACAATTCATCTCGTTGGGTTGAACGTAGAATAGAAACACAAAACTTCTAAATTTTTTATTTTAAAAATCACTAAAAATGAAAAAAAAAAAGAAAAAGAAAACAACCATAACATAAGTCAATTCCAAACACTGATTATCGCATTATGTATTGATAACTGAACACAGAATCGCATTTTCACCCACTTTTGAGGTTTACTTAAATTATAAATTATTTTTTGTAATTTTAAAAATTATATTATGTCTCCTAAGCTTTTTAATTTCATAACAAATAGATTCTTTTATTAATAAATAATCAAGTTAATTAACAGTTTTTAATCCAAACACTGATTATCGCATTATGTCTTGATAACTGAACAAAGAATCGCATTTTCACCCACTTTTGAGGTTTACTTAAATTATAAATTATTTTTTGTAATTTTAAAAATTATATTATGTCTCCTAAGCTTTTTAATTTCATAACAAATAGATTCTTTTATTAATAAATAATCAAGTTAATTAACAGTTTTAAATAATGTTGAAATTTTATTTCAATTAATAATTTAGATAATTTTATTATTGTATAGGTGAACAGTTAGAGACTTCACTTTTTCAATTAATTCTGTTAAATAAAAAATTCTAACAGGGAGGTATTTGTAATTTTTCAAATCACAGGGAGCAATTCGTATTTTAAGTAAATCTCAGGGAGTGTATTTATAATTTATCCAAAATAAAAATCAAATCTATTGGTCTTAATCTCCTATTTGGATTATGGGTCGTGCTAGGGAGCTCGAATCTGAGCTCCCCCGAATGCCCCGAATTCCATTTTTTTTTTTCAGCAGAAGGAAGAAGAAGGGGGAGGGGGACTATAGGGGGCCTAAAAAATGGGCTGGAGGCGGAGGTAGGGGGCGCGGCGATCGGCGATGGTAGAGGCGACGAGCAGAGGCATGGTGATCGGCGACGGAGGCGAAGGCGCGGCGATCGGCGACGGTTCTGCGACGGATCGGAGACGACGGCGACGGCAACGGCAACGGCGACGGCAACGGCGACGGCGACCTCTTTCTCTCCCTCTGCCTCTCCCTCTTTCTCTCCCTCTCCCTCTCCTCCCCCTTTTCGTAGGTCGAACGAAAATGGAAGGAAAAAAAAAAAAAGCCTAATGCCCAAAACGACGTCGTTTTGGACATTAAGGGGATTAGGGGGGCTCATTTCGAGCTCTCAAGCATTATTCTTGGATTATTGAGGAGAAAAATGGAAGAAAAAGAACATCAAAATTGGAGAAAAATTAATTTCTCTTATATCCACTATTTGAATATATATCTGTAAAATGGAGAGAATTAATGAAATGCTTATTCATTT